TTCAGAATGGGTCAATCCAGGTAAAGAAATTGATTTATATATATATATATTTCCCCAAATTCTTTCTCCCGGTCGTGCGATTCTTTCATGAGGGATGTTCCGCTTATGATTTTTCTGGCACCCTAATTTATCATCGCCTCAAATTCCCTTAATGTATCATCGAATTAGCCTTCAATTTCGTCCAACCCTAATTATTTTACCGTAAATTCTTTATCGTAACCTTTTTCTCTCACCGACGAGGATGAAGCCAACCACACCACTTGTTTCATTTCTAGTTGCCTATGAATCCACCTATGAATCCACCGGTAAACATCGGAAGGAAGAAAGGTTGTATTACTCAATTTCACCTTCTCTTGCCCATTTTCATCGAATTTCTTAATTTCGAACATAATGCTAATACTCTGAAAATTTGCAGGGCTGTTTTGGATTCGATTGTGACTTTAATTCCTTAATTGTAAACATTGGAATATTAGGTTTGGACTATGCACCCAGTACTACTGATCAAACGTTGTGTCTTTTCAAACTACGATTGGTATGATCCCATGTTACGGGTTAGAACTAAAAGTATAAGAAATAAAACATGGTCGAAGTCATTAAAAAGAAAAGACATCGAAGGTACGACCCGTTTACACTTGCGATGTAAGAAACATAAGTATTTTATCTTCCATTCCCAAGTATGAAAAGGAATAGGGCTGATTGGTTGGCAGTATGTCATATTAAACTGTGGGGTTGGATCGAACACTAAACATGCCACATATTAAGATACAATGGTTGACACTTGCAACATTGAACAACCCACCAAAACAACTGTATTTGGTCTCAAAAGATGGCGAGAATAGTATTTTGATTGATACTTCAGATGAATATGACGTGATTGAAGAAGAAATTTTATTTTCGAGCTCAACTGACTTGAAAGAAAATCAACTTTCACTATCTAGTTTTGATGATGACTTTCCTGATGAATAGGTCATCAAGCATTATTATATAAACTCTCTCATGTAATATTATAATTTGATTTATTGTATATTCCAATGCAAAAATATCTTAGTCCGAGAATGAAAGGTTATGGAAGTAGCGTATTCGCCAGCTTGCCCGTTTATTTTGCTTATTGCCATAGGCAGAATAGGATGATCAATGGACACTGGATCCGACAAACCAAAGCTCAGAGGATGAGAAAAGGACATCAGCGGGTATATTTATTTATTCAATCTAAATTAATTGTTAGTTACGTGTATTGGAATTTTATACAATGCCGAATTAATCCTATTTTCTATAGGTACTACTTCCGGCATATATTTAAGTTCCAATCCACCACAAAGGGTACCACCTAAAAGAGTGTGCGTTCTGAAATCAAATAGTGATACGAAGTCGAGATGAAGGTATGCTTTAAAAAAAAAATATCTCATGCAATAAATATAAGTGTACAACAACATTACTAGAAAACTTTATCTATAAGTAATCGATGATGTTTTGGCTTGAAGAAACACATTAAGTGGAAGCCGGAAAACGAAGGTAAAGTCCACTTTATTTACAACAAGTAGGACTGCGAGATACATAATGAATAGTTGTATAAGGTCTGGCACAACCACGAGGAGAAGGTTACCTTGGCTGTCCCCACACCTATCTTTGACAGTTGGAGGAAGTATTGGAACTCCGAAGATTCTATAAAAAAGTCAACAACAGGGAAAACAAACCGATGGGGCAAAAATTCCGATGCCCAAGCCAAGTCCACACACACTGGTGGATCTCGGTCGTTTTTAGAGACCTTGATAAAAATGATAAGATTGATTCATATATAGTACTTAATTTGAAAGACTTCAAACATATCTTCTTATATACGTTTAAAAATAATAGCTATAAGGTCTCGAGAAATGGGAAACCTATAAGTGGGCACATACAAAGTGTCATAACGATTGTGAGTACTGCAGCACTAAGGAAAACCGTATAAGGGTATGCCATATATCCTATAAGATTTAATATTTTATGCTATTATCAACATTTACCATAACGTTTTTATATTTATTGCTTTCAGGAGGATATGACTATGAAATAATGTCTCAACTCGGCGATACAAGAATATAGCCGTGATGAGGCGCTTCTTTCCTTGGCCCATCAAGATAAGAAAGAAAAAAAAAAATTCGGGCTTAAGTCCTTTGCAGCGATAGTGCCAGTGGAACAGGGTTCCGATTCTAACAACGGATGTACCCCGGGTAGTCCGGATTACAGCCAACACTTGAAGAATCTCGAGAAGAATAAACATGATCATCATTGAGCAGTTCAAGATGATCAACGCTCACTTGGCTATATGCGACGATGATGAGGACTCGGGTGCCCCACCTGTTTATTAAAATTTATGTTTTTCAGACACTTATTATTTAGTATTGATGATGTTATGACTTGATTATATATTTCAGACCATTTGATATGTTGGATTGCCTAACATTTTCGTGACTATAACCTTTTTTATATTATGAGCATTTACAATGGATTATTAGTTGATTCAATACAATTGTCTGATTGTAGTTTGAAATTTATTTCTGTATTCGTTTACTGGTTGAGCAGATATTGGTAAATCACGTAATGTAAAATTGTGCAAGTGCAGGAAAATGAATAAGCGACGGATCAAAAAATAATTTCGGTAAAATTATGTCTCTATTTCCATAGCTAAATTAGTGACGGAATATTTTTGTCGCTAATCTTTGTGGACCAAATTTTTTTGTTTGAATTAGCAACAAAAAATTCCGATATTAATGACATGTCAAAATCCATCACTAGTATTAGCAACAGAATTAGAGACAAAATAAATTACATTACTAATTATATTAGTAACGGAAAAATGAATTTAAGGACGGAAAATTTTCATTGTTAATTAACAATTTTTTGTATTATACCCACGTTTACATTTAAATATCATTATTTTTTAATTTCTTTGTGCCCAAGAAAATAACATAATTAGCCCTAACATAAAGAGTATTAAATAATACCAGGGGAAGAGTTTGCTTGGAAGCCTGCAATTCCTCAACAGTTTCAGCCATTGATTCAATAATTCTTGTGTACGACTATTGATATATTGAATGACTATTATGACCATGATGCATATAGTTTTTAGAATATGATGTTTAGAATATAAAGATATGATGTAATAAAAATTTCCAGTGCATTACTTTCGAGAAAATTTCAAAAAATATCTCACACGTATACCCTATTATCACTTTTGTCTTGTATTTATCTCGCTGGAAAAATATATCTCACATGTTTGCAAAAGTCGTTATTTTTATCATTAGGCCGCGCGTAAGAGCACATGGTGTGAATGTCACGCGCGGACAAATGACATAAATAGCGACTTTTTGTAAACATGTAGAATATATTTTGCTACCGAGATAAATACAAGACAAAAGTGATAATAGGGTATAAGTGAGATATTTTTGCCATTTTCTCGAAAGTAATGCACCGAAAATTTTTATTACATCGTATATTTATATTCTAAACATCATATTCTAAAGAATACATGCATCAGGGTCATAATAGTCATTCACTGGCCCTTGCCCAGGCCCATTTTCTCTAGGGCCCATAGGAGCCCCCAATTATATGTATATACTCTTATGTACTTAATATATAAATATATACTATTATTTTTAAATATTTTAAAGAATAAATAAAATTAATTTTTAAATAAAAAAGTTATTTCATATTTATAAATAATTTATGTTTATATTAATTTTTTAATTAGTTATTTATATGTTTTAGTGTGTTTATTTAATTGTATAATTTTATATATTTTTGTTGTGAATTATGTAAAATTATGAAGATATGATAGACAATAATATTGTGTGTTTTTTATATATTTTTATTGTTATATATTTAAATTTGTATATTCTATTATATGTTTTGGTGATATTTTTAAAAAATTGTGTATTATATAATAGGTTTTTTTTTTTTTTTTTTACCAAAAACTTTTCAGTATATTTTTTCAAAAAAACTAATATATTACTTGAGAGATTTTGATTTTGAATAGTAAAATTTGAAATTGAAATAGATGTTTGATGTGATATAAATATGTATTGATATAATATTTTGAATGTAAAATTAGATTTTAGTATAATAAAATAAATAAAAATTGAGTGTTTGATTTGATGTTTTTGAAGGAAAAATAAAATTGAAATAGTAAAATCAAAAGTAAAATCTTACAAGTAAGCAGAGCCAATTATTTTTTATTATTTACATAATTTGTTATACTTTATATCAAAACAATTTCTTCAAACCAAAATACAAAACAAAACACCCTAAATAATCCTTTTGTTTGAAAATTTTTTTTTAAAAGATTTTGACTATTTATAAAAAAAATTCTTTAAAAAATATTAAATCATATATATTTTTTGGATATTTTATATTAAACTAAAAAATGTCACATCAATTTTATTTATATTTTGATATTTCAATATATAAAAATTAATTTTATTTTAACATTTACATTAAAAATGTGTAAAATTATTTTTATTATTATGCTAATATAAAAATATATATTTAGGGGCCCACTATTTCAATTTTGCCCCGACTGTTGAGGAATTGCAGGCTTCCAATAGTATAATGAGATAAATTAAATTTATCCGAATTATCGAAATAATCGATTGCTTTGTGAAATAATATTTGAAACCAACAAGGTAAGGGGTATCATTACTTATCCAAATAAAGAGTGTTGTAATTATAATAATTTTCTCTTGAAATTATAGTCAACATTCTAAAATTATGAAGGGTTGTAACAATATTCAAATTAAATTATATCAATTTTTTCATTATTTTAAAGCCTAAAAAACACATAAAATATTTATCCAGTCATATATTGGGTAAAACATAAAATAAAATAATTTAATTACTCAATATTCGTGCTGGAGCGACAATATAACACTATATTCAGTAAACCATAGTATATTACTATAAACAACATACTTTATAATATCATATAATTTTATTGACGACTATTGGACCAATGAATCTTTTTCAAGTTACAACGATGCATACAAGTCATATTGCAAATATATACGTAGACGAGAGTTTGTTGTGCGAAAAAATGCAAAATACAAAAACGAAAAATAATCCTCATAATGTGCAATACATTTACTATTGCTGCAATAAATAGCTGTATAAAAAGGACAATAGAGTTGACTCCAATAATTAACGCACATGTTCAAAGGCTCGGGATCTCGCTTCTTAGCTTCCGCCATTGGAAGATTGATTTTACTTGGAGGGTACACAAAGGGCAGCAAAGTTGACACCAATCATAAATGAACATGTTCGAAGGCTCGGGATCCCGCTCCATTGCTTCTACCATTGGAAAATTGGTTTTACTTGAAGGTGTAAATGAAAGAGGATTCGAGGGCATCAACTACGACGAAGGCGGGCGTGGTCAACAATATTGTCGACGCAGTTGCGGAAGAAGTGGTCATCAAAGGCGGGCAATGGGAGGAGAAATTCTGCGTGGTGAAATTAGAGTTTTGTAAATAAATTGGGGTGGAAAGGTGAAAAATTGAATATATATATATATAATTAATTGTGATAATAATTAAAAAAAAAAAATTGCTACATTATAATCTAAAATCTTAAATATTAGATATATACATGTTTTGCATATCAATTGTATATATTTATTAATAATGAGATAAAATATTCAATTAATTTTTATTATGTTATATGAAAATTATTTATATAAAGAATGTGACTATAAATACATTATAAAATAAGGTGATTATTTTTTATTCTTCAAAAATTATTTGCTTTAGTTGGGTTTATATTTGATTAATTAAAAAAATTTTGTATTTTAGAAAATATAAACTCAAATTTATCTTATTATAATAAATAATCCGTGAAGTAAAAAAATGTATCATAATACATTTATTTAAACATCATTTGAGTCAACTATATATAAAATTATGATAAAACAACATAATAATATTATAGAGACATCATCTAATAAATCTTTACATTATTATATTTTAAATATATACAATTTTGAAAATTAATTATTTGTGAACGTGCTTAATTTTGATTAGGATTAACTTTACAAATATATATATATGAACTTGTTAAGATAATTGATTTTTTTTTAAAAAAAAAATTAAAGATCATTAAATTAATTTTTTAAAATACCCAAAACACCCTACATTAAAATCAATAATTGATCCAATGAATAAATCAAATAAAAATTAGGATGCTCCTCAATTTTATATAACATCAAAATAATATTATTTTATATGACGTATAAAAAAATATGTAGATAATATAAATAATGAATGTATAATATATATTTTAGAGAATTGTGTGTTTATTTTGCAAAAAGAACACAAATCATTACATATTATCATTCAATGAATTGTTTGTTGTGTCTTTTGGTTGGAATTTTTCCTTTTTTTTTCTTTTTTTTTTTTTTTTGGTAATAATACAAAAATAATTAGTATATAATATATATATATATATATTTTTTTTCTAAGAGAACAAATCCCAAAATTTAAAATAAAAGGTTGTTGACAATAATGTAATTAAATTAAATAAAAACATGATTTAAAGAAATGAATTATGTGTGCTTCACTACAATTATAAATTAAAATGTATAATTTTATTAGGAATAATATTTTATTCTTCTCTTATTTATATATAAAAATTAACAAAATCTAGGGTTTGTTTTGTTTGTAGATTTGAAGACAGTTTGAAGTTTTGAATAATAAAAATTTTAAATTTATTGTTTTTATTTTAAATTTAAATTAATATATATTTTTTTTCAAAAAGATATTATTAGTAAAAATAAATCTACAAATAAAAAGAAATATGGATTCCATAACATATAGTAAATATTAACATATTCTTTTGGGCTAACCAATATGAGCTAGCATATAACTTGGATTAAGATTTATCTTAGGCCAATTGCTCCAGCTCTATTAATGCTCATCTTGCCGGGGCATAATTGTATATACACAGTTACGAATGTCATACCAAAATTTTTGATATGTTACCAACATATGCTCTTTATACCAAAAATTTAATATTTTAATTTTTTTATCAAATTTATTATACTTTTAAAAAATTCAAAAAATACCTTCTCTGCTCAGCCAAAGAATGACGAAATAGCAAAAGAAGTCGAAGAAAAATGACGAAATAGCAGAAGAAGTCGAAGAAAAATGAATAAAGGATGAAGAAGAAGAACTCAAATAAGCGAGGAAGTTAAGAAAAAGGAGAAATAATAGAAAAGAACAAGAATTGAAAAAGGCGAAGAAATTGAAGAAAATACACGAGAGAAGAACTATAATTTTGTATTTGGGAATAGGTTAAAGTTTTTTTAATTTTTTTTTTTTTCAAAAGAATTAATTATTTATATTAATAATTAAAATATTAATAGAAATTGGAGATAGAAATTAAAATAACAAGAAATAAAAGAAGGTAATAAAGCCAAAAGAAGTGAGTACTGAAAGCAAAAGCAAGAGTTAATTTCGAAAACAAGTAGTGGTTGCTACTACCTACCCACCTAAAGCCGATAATGCTAATTAAGAAACTGCTGGTTCCGAAAGAAGCAATATAGAAGCATATAGTAAGTAATACCTACATCATCATCATCATCATCATCACTCGAATGCCCATGCATTCTCCCTGCGAACCTCCTCTTCCTCCTCAGGACTAAAGTCGTTCGTTATGTTGAAAGTAGTACGAATCTCGTCCGGTGCTTTCCCCTTTATCATCTCTGCAACTGTTTGGCATGTCAGGTCCAGCAACCCGTTGATGTTCAAGTAGTTCGCAGCCTCACACACACACAATCAATCAATCAATCAGTAAGTTCGTAATAGAGCATCACAGATCTATGATGATGATGATGGAAGATATATGAAAAGGTATTTCAATAACACGAGCAATTCAGATTTTTGTTATGTTGTTCTTCCTGCAATCTGTAGCACAACCACCAGAATTCAATTTGATTCGAAACACTAACAATGTAATCCAGTGTTGTGGAAGATATTTTGATAGCCATAACCAATTCAGATTTGTTATTTTTCTGCAATTTTTATCATCATCGTGAAATTCAATATATGATCTAAAACTAGAACAATCTAATCCAATGTAGTCAAGCAATTCTAATCTCAAGTAGATTTATTAAAAATGTCACGTATATGCATTCCTCGACTAAACTTTCTTCGTTGTTTTACCAACACAAATAAGTTAAAATCAGAGATATAGAGGATTCCTATTATCATCTTCGTTATTCTGTAACTAAACAGAACTGAGATTCCTATCTTACAATACAAATTCCTTACTACTGAGAAGCCAGAAGTATATTTTTCTTTACAGCAAATATTACATTATCAAAATTCCAAATAACATTCAGAAAAGAGAAAACCGAATCCAACAATGATGGAAAAACTTTTTAGTAAAACAACAATCGACAGCACGCAAAGAGGAAATAAGCGAAACCTATCGATAAAACAAAACTTAAGGTTCAACAACTATTTTTACGCAAATTAATACACACGCAACAAATTAAACAGCGAAACTATAGGAACGAAAGAACAAAATTCGTAGTGGATAAACGAAACAGAAAAGGCAAGCCCTAGCTAGGGGCAAAATATGAATAAACATAGAGAGAGCATACCAAAATCAGATCAAACAGCGTTCCCTGCTCAACCTTAACGAATTCGGCATCAAACGCCTTCAATTGGTCTGCAGACGACCTGTTTGCAGGCATTACATCCCCGGACTCCTTGGCAACCGCCTCCGCATGGCGATTACAGTACTCAATTACCTTTGCCAGGATCCTGGAGTTCACGTTAGGCAGAGGAATGGTATCGTCAGCGCAATCATCCTCGATCATGTGTTTGATCGTGACTGATTGGATAGCAACCTCCTTCTCAATCTCGAAGGTCTCGCCGTCGGAACTCTTCAAAACGATCTTCCTCTTAGATTCTGAATCGGACGACATCTTTTCTGTTTCGATCGGAAAATTTCCTCGTAACCACCGATAGAGAAGACGATGGAGAGTAACTGCTGGAGGAATATGAGCGAAGGATGAAGTTGGTGCGGTTTTGATGGGTATTTATAGACGGGCGGGGGTTGGGCGGTTACTGTTCCTACCTTTTAGGGTTTGTTATTTAGATTTCAATATTTCCTAAATATCCGCTTGTATCGTATCTGAATAAGAACTTTTCTTTTTTTTTTTTTTTTTTTTTAATATAAAGATTTAGATTTTTTAATTTGATATTTTATTGTTAAAGATAAAAATAATAAAAAATTAGATAGACACTAAAGGAAATATATGTACTATTTTTTATATTAAAATTATACAAGATGCGTTTAGATTGAATTATAATTCATAAATTATTATAATTAATGAATTAATTAATAGTATAATGTTTATTTTGTGTTATTCAATATTAAATAAATTTATATTATATATATATATTTTTTTATAATGTGAAAATTCGCGATTGCTTACCGGAAAAATACGCATTCGATACATAATATCATGTTCATTTAAATAGATTATATGTTATAATAATTATATTTTCTTATTCAAAATATTATAAATAATCTTATTATAAATGATAGTAATGGAATATAATTAATTTTATATATAGTATTTTTTTTTTCTAATTATAGCAATATATTATAATATATTAAAATTTAATTGTGATATTATCATTACATAATATTATATATATAATTTGATATATTTTATGTATTATTTAGTAAATATATCTAAGTTTATCCTTAAAATTATAAATTAAATTTTAGTAATATATTTTATATCATTTTTATAACTTTATATTATTAATTAAAAATTAAAATCAAAATATATCAAACAAAATGATGACGTTGGAATCCGCAGTCGCTACCCGAAAGTGCGCATTGGGTAAACTCCCAGCCGAACTTAATATCCTGCAAATCAAATTCGACGGAAAAATGACATTGGACAACCATGTGTAGACAAAAAAAAAATTATTATTATTATTATTACATTTATATCAAATGCTTCTAAGTATCTAAAAGAAACGATAATTTAGACATTTTATTAGATATGATTCTAGGGTTAGATTGTATTAGTAATATCATAAATCAATATAATTGTATGGAATCTATGATTATATATGACCTTAATACATTAAAATAAATATGAGATTATATCGAATAAAATAATATTATTCATTATAATTTTATGTAATAAATACATCCATAGTTTATCATATTATAAATCATATTTTATATTATATTCTATTCGTCGACTAAATTTAAATTTACTCAAATACTAATTTTATCAAAATAAACAGATCAATATTTAATTATTATCTTTTATTCATATAGATTATTTACAATAAATATCATTATATTTATTACTTTATCTCTTTTCGATTTTTTATTTTTAAATTTCTAACTAAATTTTCAAAATTACCCAAAATTATTATCATTTTTTAATTTTTATATTGGACCACAATATTCTAAATTTACCTACTGAAAATAGTATATTATAAATTTGAAGGGGTTCGAGCTCCATTAATTGCAAACTATGAATTTGGAATATTTTTATTTTTATTTATTTATTTATTTATTTTCTAAATTAATTGTGTATTTGATTATTTATTATAAAGAATGTGAGCCAATAATTATTTTTTATTTATTTAATATATATTTTCTTTGTCCATTTATATAGTATATATTTATTTTTATATGATTTTTCGTAAATATTACTATTATATTTTAACTATAGTTGATAATAGTTTTGATATATAAAAATTATTTTATCTTATGATACGGTAGAATATTGATGGAAATAAATATAAATATAAAAATATTTATAATATGTAGTAGGTATAAGTATTTTTTTTAAAAGATAACTATTTTAATTTTGGATAACAAAAAATAACAAAATATATATTTATCAAATAGCAAATAAAGTATTTTCAATAAATTATCTTAATAATATTTTTATATGTACATAACTTAAATATATGCAATTTAAATATAAACATTTAGTTTATCATCATTATTTTATTGATTATTTGATAAAAATGACTTTATTAATATATTTAAATATTTATACAAATTAATTTTATTATTTATTGAAAATATAATTTTAATATTTATGCGTATTATCATATATAAAAATAAGTATAATATATGATTTAATTAATTTGAATTCAAAATAATTATAAGTTAAATTATAACATTATTATTAAATATATATTGATTTATCTATAATCAGGGCAGCTCATCAGACACCTAACCTATGACTCATATTTTAAAATATTATCTATTATTATTATTATTATTAAATTTTAAAATTAAATGTTAATTTTTAGTTTATATATTTTTTTTTCATAATTATTCAATTTCATTATGAAATTAACTTTTAAACAGTAATCATATATTTTTTTTTTGTATTTTTTTATTTTTAACCAAGTCTTATCTTATCTTTCTAAATTTAATCGTCGTCTATACTTCTTTACCTTACACCGTATTGTGCTCACCAACTCAGACTAAACCCACCTTACATTTTCTTTTATCTCTTTAGTTATATTATTTTGAAATACATTTTAATTAGATGTTTATAAGGTTTATAATTTATAAATATTGATAGTATGTTCATAAATCTATATGTATATATATTAAATATTAAATATTAGACTTATCTTATTTATTCTTATTTTATCTTATATATTTGAAAAGATTATTCGTTTTATTTAAGCAATAATTATTTTGAAGTGATTGTTTTAAAATTTAAATATATATACCACATGTGTGATATATAATTTATGTATCATAATTATAATTATTCGTAATATATTAAATATATTTGTATTTTGCATAAAATAATATGTATAATTAAAAATATATTAAAAATAACTTTTTATGTGATAATTTATTTATAATATTACAAATATTGATAGTATATTGTTATTGTTTTTGTAATGTTTTGTTTTAAATTCTGATTTTTGCAATGAATAATTTGTTTTGGCGGGAAACAATTTTAAAAAATTTATGATTTAGGATCAATTTGAAAATATATACAATTTTTTACACTGTTTTTATATCACATTTTTTTTAAAAAAAAAATTAATTTTGACACTGTTTTTATTAAACATTTTTTTTTATTACACGTTTCTTATATATTTTAATCATTTTTTGTTTACTAAAGCAATTCTTTTTTAATCTTCGTTAAGAGTTTATATTATCTTTTTAATCATCTTTAATTATTTTTTAAAAGATATTTTTGTCCTTGTATTTTTTAACTATAAAGCACAAAAAGTAGTTAAAAGCACTAATCAATACCCCATTTTTTAAAACATGTGTCCAACCAATAAGAATAATTTTTTATGAATTATAATGTTTTTTTATTTCTTTGTTATAAAAAAAATTATTTTTTCCTATATGATATGTATATTCATATATATATATATATATTTTTTTTTTGGGAGTTTTTCATTATATGGATTTAAAAAAAAAAAACATAAATATATATTATCAATTTTTGGGAAGTTGGCCTAGGTTCTTAAATCGAAAATAAATTTGAGTAGGACAAAAATACAAGAACAATGCGAATTACATATTTGGTCAAAAACAATGGTCAAATCACATTTTTGTACACCCGTTAGCAATACATACCCATATACACTCCCAAATAGTTAAAGATATAATGGAGTTATGAGATAGTCATCCGTACAATAATATAAGTGCTGATTTTTCAAATCTTAACACTTGTAATATATATAAATATCACACAGTATTATTATACATAACACATGTTGTATTGTAAAGACATATATTGTATTGTAATATATATAAATGTGTTATATAAAAATATAAAATGTGCTGAAATTAACTATTATTTATGTAGTATAAAACTATAGCATGTATTGTTAGTTCATATGTTGTACAATTACAAGTGTTATATGACAGTACGTGGTGCGTTGAAATCAACTATTGTTTGTTCTGTTTAGGCCCTTCTTTTTGGGGGCAACTGATCCATTCTATGAACCCAATTCTGTTCCGCTATAGAATGATTTATCTCCGAGTTAGTGCTCTTTAGTCCTCTCGAAATCGGGCTTCCTCACTTAGCAGCTCCTTTTGTTTCCGACTAACATTGGGGGGTTTCAGAAAATGGGCAACCAACGGATTCAACCGTTGTATAAGACTATAGCATGTGTTGTTAATAGATGTGTTGTATTTGTATTATATGAATACATACGGTGTGTTGCCTGTAGTAACACTTTGTGCGCTCTGATAGCATACAGTATGCTATGATGTGTTGTCAGTCCGTGTTTAAAATTCAGCATCGTAGCCGCCATCGCCGCCGTGTGGTGTATATAGATATATAACTATTTAGATTCATCAAAACATATCTAGAAACGGCAGTTTTCTTCAAATTTGGAGAATAGGTACAGGCGACAGCACATGATGCAGTACTAAAGAAACGCATCTATGGCGGCTTTCTTCACCGTTTTACAGACAGGACACGATTCCAGCTGCGGTTCGCACTCCCGACACGAGCACAGATGTCTGCACGGCACCATCACCACGCAGCACCTACGCCTATTGCATCCTCCGCAACTCATTCTCAGCCGTCCGATCCTCGCTTCGTTCTCCTGCGCCACTCTCCGCCACCTCTCCTTCTCCATCTCCGTCCTGTCCAGACATTCTCGAAGCTCCGCGCCGCGCCGCGCCGCCGCCGCGACCTCCTCGTCCTTCTGCGCGATTAAGAATTGGATCCTCGATTGGTGTGTCCGTAGCAGCAGCGCTGTCTGCCGCCTGCTCTGCTCTTCCAGAGCCGTTCTTAACCTCTCGCTCTGCTTCAATGGCGGTTAGAATTTTACAACAGCAATTTTCGAAACAAGTATAGTTAGTGCAGTACCTGTGAATTGATGAAGAGATCAAGTTCCATTGTCTGATTTTGAAGAAGAGTTGTAAGGATCTCGCTGCCGCCGGGATTGTCCATAGCCGACAACAGATCTGGAGGAATCCTGTCTGAATGTATCATGTATGTATATATATATATATATGTGCGTGTGTTGTGTGGTGTGGTGTGGGGGACACATAGCAAGACATTACTTCTGATTCCTTGATTGGGTGTTGAGAAATTTTGACAAGTAGGGGCCTGAAATTGAGGTTTGTGTTTTATGGTTTGTTTTATTTCAGGTTAAATGGTTTTTTTAGTCTGACATTTTATTATTTTAGTTCACTAAGTGAAATCTGTCGCAAACTAATTTTATAAGTGAAATTTTTTTGTCGTTTTAGTCCTCCGGCGAGAAGCCACGTGTCCGCTAGTATCCCGCCAGATCAGCGACACCTGACATATACGTGAATTTTATTTTATTTTTAATTGTTTTTTAATTGGACCAAATAAAAAAAAGCAAATAAAATTTAAAATAAATTAAAAATAAATTTTTTAAAAAATTAAAAAAAAATTCACGTGTCCGCCAGGTGTTATTGACCTAGAGGACACGTGGCCTCCGGCGAGCCACAAGGACGTCTCCGGCGCCGGATGACTAAAACAACGAAATTTTTTCACTTATGAGACTAGTTTGCGACAGACTCTACTTACAGGACTAAAATGATAAGAGAGTCTAATTACGGGACTAAAAAAAACAGTGTACCCTTTATTTATTGTTTTGGTTACTGTAGCTAATTTTATTTTATTTTATTTCAAATATACACACAGAATATTAAGAAACTATCAATTTTTAGTATATTCTATTGTGTTTTTGAAATACGAATTATGTTGTATGTGTTTATATGTTGTTCTAAAAAAGTATGCATGGTACTTTATAAAAATATGTTATTACTCTACAAAAATATTATACTCTCTCCGTCATGGTGAAAAAGTGGTGTTTGCTTTTTGCACGTAAATTTTTTAATATTAGTATTATATTGAATTGTAGTAAAAAAGACAAAAATACTCCTATTAGTATAGTATAATATAAAAGTAATGATACTTGTGTAATATATTGTAAGTTTGAAGGGTATTTATTATGTTAGTTAAGTAGTACAATTACTAAATTAGAAAATGATAATCTTGTTTTGAGACATACAAAAATGGAAAATGACAATCTTTCAATGGAACGGAAGGAGTATATAGTATATATTATGCTGTATAGAGTATATATTTTGTATTATTTAGACTTTTGTTTGTGTTGTTAGAACAATTAAATTATACTTTCTGAATATTTGAACGATGCTAAAAGAAAAAATTAGCATGGTCTAAATCAACACTGTAATTGTCATTTTTATTTATTTATTTTTTATTTGATTAGAGTGTTGATTTAAATTATTTAGTATAGTGCTAATAGCATAAATATACAGATAGTTAATACTCTTTCTATTTTAATTCAATAGTCGTATTTTACAATTATTGTGTGTTTCAAAATAATAATATTATTTTTATAAATAATCATATATCATCAAATTACTTATACTTTATTATTATTATTATACAAATATCACTATTTTCTTATAGTAACATATTCACATAGGTAAAAAAAAAATCTTCTACGCATACTTTCTACCGACTATTACTATAATATCAATATTCATTAAAATTTCATATCCAACACAAATTCATCTATTATTTCAGGACGAACGGAATATGTAATTACCGCTTTATATTTTAAATGTGTTTGTATATATATATATTGAGTTCAATTATACTCTCATGTTCCAAATCATAGTATTATTTTTCTTATTTTCGTTTATTCATCTAAAAAAACATTTTTTTTTATATTTTAGTAAAAGTAATTATATGCTAATACCATAATATTTTTAATTTTTGTTTATATTATAAATATATTATTACACATATAATTACTTTATACTTGTAAAGTTCAAATGGTAAAAATGTCAAAATTTCTTACACAATTCAACTAACCTATAAAATACTATTATTTTTTAATCTACCACAAAACTTCAAAGAAGTACATTATAGTGGAACGGAATGAGTAGTATATATTGTATGAATTATTGATAATTCTGCATTCATATTATGTTAAAATATAGTATATGTTATTTTTATATATTTTATGTTCTACTAACCCTATAGAGATTGCTAGTCTAATGTAGAATCATTGTCTTTATGTTAAAATTGTGTATAACCATGTTGGTTTGAAAATTTTCATTATTCTTTATTTTGCTTTAAAATTTATGTAATAATCTTTTATGTCAAAATTGTGTATAACCATGTTGGTTTGAAAATTTTCATTGTTCTTTCTTTTGCTTTAAAATTTATGTAATGATTTTTGTGTTTAAATAAAAGGCTGCGCTATTGTGCTGAATTTGAACAACATTAAGTGTGCTAACAAATAACATACAGTATAACTATTGACAGCACATTATTTATATTAATATAATATAAATATAACACATAATATAGTCTCTCACACAGTACAAATAGTAATTGATTTTAGCACATGACATACTTTTATATAACACACGTTGTAATAAGGAACAAACAGCACATGTCTTTAGTACACACAACATATATCTTTATTACACAGAATACATATATTGTGTGTAATCAAGACATATTTTTTTTTATATTTTAGGTTTGTTGAAATCAACATAGTGGTAATCTTTCCCTTTTAAAAAAATATTGTATAAAATTTCTTAAATGTCTAAGTTAATGAATTTATTGAAATTATTGTTGTTGAAGCACTGCATTTGAAATTTTTGTACAATATTTTTAAAATATACTTAAATGTTTGTCAATTTTCAACTAATTATACCATAAACTTACAAACTTCTTATGAGTTAGAGGCAATTATGCCTCTTTTTATTTTAATATATGAGTTTGTTTGGTCTGTATTTGTGTTTGGATATTTTATTTAAATTATACTTTTATGTAATATTTAAAAAAATAATATACTTTTATTAAAAATGATATAAATTTTATATAAAAAAAAATATTATTTGAAATGCAAAGCAAACAAACCAAGCAAACCCAATGGAAATAGACATAATACATACAATTAAATATAGAATATACCCACTTACAATGTTTATATATTTCTATTTTGAGACGTCTAATTATAAAGTAAACATTTAATTAAATACTTTATTTTTTCCATAAATACCTTTACTTTACATCACATTATTACTTTTACACAAAAATGTAAGGACAAAAATGTCATTACACTACTTTTAACTATTTACTGTAATTAAAATACTATTATTTTTTTAAACACCGCGCCAAAATTAAATGTAAACATTGTAAGTGGATGGAGGGAGTATAATTTTAATACATTGAAAATAATTGAATTGAATAATAAAAGTTTTAATATAATAAAATAGTTGTGCACAAAAATTGGTTTGAATGTAAAATTAACTTTTAATATAATATAAAAAATAAAAGATAGAAGTTTTATTTGATATTTTTTGGAGAAAAAAGTTGGATAAATAGTAGAATTTTGCCAAAATCCTTTAAACGAACACACATTAAATGATTCGTGCATATATTGTTACTTTCAATTAACTGTATACATTGAATATGACCTAAATATGTGAGACAAATTTGTTTATCTAGTTTAATTGTAAAAACTACTTTGGAAATTCCAATTTAGATAAGATTTTACTGTTAGGAATAATCAACTAATATGATATAAATTTCCACTCAATTTTCACTCAAAACACCACTTGGTCATTCGATGAAAGACATCTCAAAAACCTCACACAAACCTCCTATTTATAGGGCTATTCGGATTTGTTCCACGCCGTACAACACTTTAATGTCATTATATACTCAGTTAACTTATAGTATAAATGCTACTGCCACAATGTATTATGAGATCATCACTTCTTACTACGTACCTACAATATAATGTTAAAAGTAAAATAAACTTAAAATAATAAAAGAAAAATAAACATTTTATTAATATACACAAACCAATGTTTAAATATTTACAAAACACACTATTTAACAAAAGGTTTTATTTCTTAATAATTTACATATAATACAGGGTAACAAATTCACATATTCACGTCGTCCTTCTTGACATATCTCATATTTTGGAGGTGTTATGCATAATTGAATGATAGACATGTTTTAATAAAATTTATTTTTATATATTTATAGGTTTTAATATTTGTTTCGACAATAGATTCTACTTAAAATGCTATTTTTGGTATAAGTGCAGATTATTGTATAAAAGGGCAAAAAAATATCTGAAAAAAAAAATTACAATTTAATTTGGAAAGATTATTATGAGATATGGATAAGATTGCAAAATAAAGAGATTATATTTTTGTGGGATATAGAAGAGAGGGCCCCACTTTTGGAGACATCAAGATAGAACAAGAAAATACAGTGCAAAATAGCCCCGGAGAAAGATTGCAAGGAGAAAAAAAATTTAAGTAGATTTTATTGATTGATAATTCTTAGGCAATATCTACTTTCTTTATTGTTTTTGTTTTCTCTCTCATGATTAGCGAGTGGATCTTTTCTTTCCTAGTCCAGGAGTGAAACAAAACTTGGTATGAATTTGTGAGATTAAACTTGTTTCAATTTATGATATTTATTTGGTTCCTAAGTATTTTTGTGATTTCTAATTTCTTTGTTTTATAATCTTTATTTTAGTTGTATATTTCGGTCGGATATTTCAATCGAATTAATGATTGACTGTTAAACTAAATTAGACGTCTGCAACTAGGGACATATACTTGCCGTCTGTTGAAATTGTTGATCTTTCATTATTTCCCTTGCATGTCGCACGCCCGATGGAGCCATTGGATTTGCTGACACTTTACCTTGTGGGAATCGTCTCCAAGATCAATGACAGATATTACTTTCTCCCACACATTTATCCTCAATTCAGATCCAACGTGCTGGAGTTTGTGTTGCATGCTTCCGCTGTTGATGCCCCGCCTGAGGACCCTACTCCTTCCGCTCCCACCAGCCACATGAAATTCCTCCGCATTGACCGCCGTCTTGACCGCATTAAAGCCCAACTGCGGGAGTTCTCAC